CTCAATTCCAAGGCTAACACCAACTGCAGGGACCTGTTTTCCACTGAACATCCCCACTAAATTGTCATAACGCCCGCCAGCTGCTATAGAACCAACCTAAATACAGATGAGAAGAGTGTTAACCATAAATATCAGCAACTAAAACTTGAAGAATATGACTCAGTTGAACAAATGCGAAGGCATCTTGAGCTTAAAATACATAATAATAAATGAAACATTTCACAGGAAATATTTGAACATGCCCTCAGGGAAGACCCAAGTGCGAAAGAAGAAATGATACTAGTCTTAAATATTTGAAATATTTTCCAAGTCATGTAATAATATATCTCAATAGCTACGTGAATGATCATAGTCCTTATTAGGAAAGTGGACAAATTACATAAATGCAACATATTTAATTGCAAGACAAATAAGAAGCTCCGTCATTTATTCATAAAATATAGTAGTATCTAAGTATCTGCTATGTATTTGATATGGACATATCACGATTGTCATCATGATAGGTAACCAGTTACCAAAACCATCTGGCAAATATATGTCAAAAACCATTAGAAGAATAAACTCTTGAGTATATATATTACCTGTGTAGAACCTTTAAACACTGCTTCAAATATAACTCCAGTGTAATAATCAAGACCTCTTGCAAGACTCAGATCAAACACAACTTTGTCTATACATCTTGATTTCTCAAGAGCTTTAAATAAAATCTCCAATTCGTTCAAGGCAATAACAGATCCAGCGTTATCCAACAACTGACTATCCTTGCTTCTCAATTCTGATAATAATTCAAGTGGCGAACCTCTTTTCTTTACAAACATGCCAATTCTTTCTGCTATTTCAACAGTCAAGCCTTTTTCATCCACCTAAGTTGACAGAACTTTTAATCAGACAAAAAAATAGGAATCATCTCAAAAGACATAAAAATACTTGTGTCACAAATTAAAGATTAAATTTGACAGTGTTTGACGCATTCTAAACAAGATGCAGCAGTATGAAAACCAACATGCCTTAGATTTTGGAAGTAGTTGTGATGAAATGTGTTTTTTGGGAGGAAGGACTGACAATAACAGTATCTAATTCTGGAAAACAAGACATCACTTTTACATGAACTCAATCATCCTCAGATTACTATGCAGTGCCCGGTGGTTCAGCTTTATCTGCAGTAACAAAAGGATTTTGCAAACAATCAGGGCATAATTCAGGAATGTTCAAACAACTGCATCTATACAGGACAGTAAATATATCAACAAACGTGCAAATGAAAGCTATTTGTTTATCAAAGCTGTATTCATGTGTTCCATAAAAGGCAATAGAACAGTAATTGATGCAAAGAGTACCTCAAAATCACCTATATTGAGGTCATTCAGCAGTTCAGTCAGAACTTTGATAACCTCAAAATCAGGTTCCATTATTTCATATTGACCAGCGATATCAAAGTCACACTGGTAGAATTCACGAAACCTCCCTTTTGATGGATTATCTCTTCTGTACACTTTAGCTATTTGGTACCTCTTCAACGCACTGATATTGTTCATTGCAAGGTATCGTGCAAAAGGGACAGTCAAGTCATATCGCAGAGAACAAAGCTCACCACCCTGAAAATAATTCCAGACAAATTATATACTTGCAAAAAAATACACCCAGCTAGCAACCATCATCATAAACGGAATAATTGACACATCACATTCCGACAAAAGTGAGCAGCAGCATACCTGGTCAGCAAGGTCATATATCAACTTTGAATCTTCCCCATACTTCCCCATAAGAGTCTCTCTAAGTTCAAATACAGGAGTATCAAGTCCAACTGCTCCGTGCATCTTGAAAACATTAACGATAATTGAAAATGCACGCTCCCTTATGGCCATTTTTTCTTTTGCAAAATCACGGGTTCCCTAAAAAAGATGGACTTCAGATCGTGAGCATAAAGAAAAGCTCCACCAGTTATGCATCATTTACTAGTCCAAATTTAGTCTCAAAATGTTTTTTTTAAATATAAAACTTGGAAGTCCCTCAACAAGACAACCCTAAGAGGACGGGTTACTTTTTTCATGTGTTTTAATAATATAAAGAAAGGAAAACTAGAATCAAACAAATTGGTCTTTCCACCCCCCAACGACATGACAGAAACAGGGAAGCCAATATTAATACAGATATACACAGGCGAGAGATGTGTACTTTCAAGCTGAAAGGAGGCAGAATGTTGCATGAATGACTGAGATAGGGAGGTGTGAATGCAAATCACAGTGCACAGATTCCTGAGTGTGTTTGGATGCACAAAACCAAAATCATAAGGTTAA